AAAATTCAGTTAAATTTTTGAAAATTTTCTCTTATTATATGTCTAAATATATAGTATCCGATACTATTTCAAAAAATTTATATAACAAAAAATTTCATTTTGTACTGGATTTTAACTGATTTAGAAATGTTAGCAAAGTGGATAAAATTGTTATTAAAAAAAACTTCTAAATAAGAGAGAAAATCAATATATTTTAAAATTAATGAGTTCTTCAAATCAATTAAAATACATTAGACAAAAAAGGTTCTTACTTCTTAGAGCTCTCTTAAAAAACAAGTAAAACAATATTTTTTGTCTTTTTTCATGGGAAAAACAAGTAGATAATTGTAGATATCACTTATTTATTTATTTTCAACATTTTAGATATCATTTATTATTCCTGAAAGAAGCTATTTGTCCGTAGTAAGAAAATCAAGAATTGGATAAAAGATTGGGACAAAAGAAATTCGATGATGCTTTTTTTTTTTGTAATAATCTTCAAAATGTTGTGATCACATATAGGACAAGACTAATCGGCCCACGTGCACCGGTCCAAAGCAAACTTAAAGCCGGTATAATATGGTTGAAAGCCGGTTTAGAATTCGATCAATTGAGAAGTCAGAATCTCAAATGTTATACTTATTAAAATGTACCGGCTAATTCGTGTGACACAAATAACCCATTTCTATCCTTAACCCTAATGTCTCCTACGTATAAAATACACTTCCACAGATGACCGATTGTCCGAAACAGATCTAGATTTTTCCTGTCAACTATGTTTAACGGCGACTTTATCGGTTTGTGGGCATTCGGCATCGGCGCCGGCTTAACTATTGCCGCGCCGACAACTGTGAGGTTTATGGTAAATGGTATGGTAAGGATCGAGGGAATGCACGTCTTCATAACCCTAACCCGAGCTGTTCGAGATGGTCAGCCTCCTGCTCCAGATCTCGCTCAGGAAGTCGCTTCGGCATAATTATTAGCCCCCCTACAACTGCGTGGTATATGCCAAACGGTGTGCTGATGGTCGAGGGACCGTCTTTTCGAATAAGCCTAAACCAAGCCGTAGTTATTGATCAGCGTCAGGCAGATCCTTCTCTTCCGTATCTTCAGTACGATCAGGCTGTTCGTCAGCATCAAGATATTCCTCCGGGTGAGGCTGTTGGTCCGTATCAAAGTGAGGGTGAGGCTGTAAACCATATTTGTCACTATCTTAGCGAAGTGGATTTCGGGGAGAAATGAATGAAATTGGGGGTGAGCCTGTGGTTTGAGGTGGTGTTTGAGATTTCTAAGCTAAATATGTTAGTGGTGAGTGTGTTATGAGATTGTGGGTTTATTTAGGTTTGCTATTTTGGTTTGAGGGGTGTTTGGGATTATTACATGTGTGATTTATGATTTGTTATTTTGTTTTGACTCCTTGATCTTGACAACTTTCCAGATAATTAATCATATTGTATTGTGAACTCATAAAGAAATCACGTTTATGCTTTTCCTTAAGTTGTCAAAACATATTAATAATAATTCCCAGGAAAATG